GGAGGGAAAAAAGCATGAACTGGATAATGTAAACTAGGTTTATGATATAAGCCATTTCTATTTTATTCATTTTTTAAAATATATTTTATTGATTTTTTACAGAGAGGAAGGGAGAGGGATAGAGAGATAGAAACATCGATGAGAGAGAAACATCGATCAGCCGCCTCCCGCACATCTCCTACTGGGGATGTGCCCGCAACCCCGGTACATGCCCTTGACCGGAATTGAACCCGGGACCCTTCAGTCCGCAGGCCGACGCTCCATCCACTGAGCCAAACCGGTTTGGGCGGATTTGTAGTTTTGAAGAAGACCCTGAGAGCAATGTACTACATCTGCTTGCATTTCTTCATAAAGTACACACTGGCCTAGGTTCCATTAGTTTCAACAAATGTCCAATAAGCCCTTTCTCTGGGCCAAAACCTCTTCGTGATCCAGGGACTCAAAGGTAATTAAGCCGTGACCCTTAGCCTCAAAAAGTTCATAGTCCCAATTGGGAGTTAATAACATTGGAGCCAAGATGTCCCTGCCTGCCTGGAAATCGCCTGCAAAATCAGGCGATTGTGTGTATCAAAAGGGTCTATAGCAGTGGTTCTCAACCTTCTGGCCCTTTAAATACAGTTCCTCATGTTGTGGTGACCCCCAATTTCATTGTTACAAATTGAACATAATTAAAGCATAGTGATTAATCACAAAAACAATATGTAATTATATATGTGTTTTCCAATAGTCTTAGGCAACCCCTGTGAAAGGGTTGTTCGACCCCCAAAGGGGTCACGACCCACAGGTTGAGAACCGCAGCCCCCCCCCCCATAGTAGTGGTGAACCACTGTTCTAGCTCACCAGTCAGCAAACTATGGCCCACAAGCCCAATTCAGTTCACTGCCTCTTTTTGTCAATAGTTTTATTGAAACACATCTACACATGTTCATTTATGTATTATCTAAGGCTGCCTCCGTGCTTCAACTGCAGAGTTGAGTAGTTGCAACAAAGAATTCATGGACTTCAAAGCCTAAAATATTTATTATCTGGCCCTTCATAGAAAAAAATTGCCAACCCCTGGGCTAGATAATTAGCTTTAAATCATTTCAATTCTCCAAGCCAGTTTCTACATCTGTACAATAAATGGATTTGAATAAATCATCTTTTTAGCTCAACCCTTCAGTTATTAAGTGACTAGTGAAATGTAAAATGCTCCTGAATGTTGAGGAGCCTTCTGCAGACTCAGGATATTAGAGTGATCATCCCATTGGTGGTTGATAACTAAATCCCACTCTCTTCTCCTCACAGATCCTTGCCATAATCTCCATAATGTTCATCGTCCTCTCCACCATTGCCCTGTCACTCAACACGCTGCCAGAGCTGCAGGGCGTTGATGAGTTTGGCCAGTCCACAGACAACCCCCAGCTGGCCCACGTGGAGGCTGTGTGCATTGCGTGGTTCACCATGGAGTACCTGCTGCGGTTCCTCTCCTCACCCAAGAAGTGGAAATTCTTCAAGGGTCCACTCAACGCCATTGACTTGTTGGCCATCCTACCATATTATGTTACCATCTTCCTCACTGAATCCAACAAGAGTGTGCTTCAGTTCCAGAATGTTCGCCGCGTGGTCCAGATCTTCCGCATCATGCGTATTCTCCGCATCCTTAAGCTCGCACGCCACTCCACTGGCCTCCAGTCCTTGGGCTTCACCCTGCGGCGGAGCTACAATGAGCTGGGCTTGCTCATTCTCTTCCTCGCCATGGGCATCATGATCTTCTCCAGCCTTGTCTTCTTTGCAGAGAAAGATGAGGAGGACACCAAGTTCAAAAGCATCCCAGCCTCTTTCTGGTGGGCTACTATTACCATGACTACTGTTGGATATGGAGACATCTACCCCAAGACTCTCCTGGGGAAAATTGTTGGTGGGCTCTGCTGCATCGCAGGGGTTCTGGTGATTGCTCTTCCCATCCCCATCATTGTCAACAACTTCTCTGAGTTCTACAAGGAGCAGAAGAGGCAGGAGAAAGCAATCAAACGCAGAGAGGCTCTGGAGAGAGCCAAGAGGAATGGCAGCATTGTGTCCATGAACATGAAAGACGCTTTTGCCCGGAGCATCGAGATAATGGACATCGTGGTTGAGAAAAATGGAGAGAATAAGGACAAAGTACAAGATAACCACTTGTCCCCCAACAAATGGAAATGGCCAAAGAGGACATTATCTGAAACTAGTTCAAGTAAGTCCTTTGAAACCAAGGAGCAAGGATCCCCTGAGAAGGCCAGATCATCTTCTAGTCCTCAACACCTGAATGTCCAGCAGTTGGAAGACATGTATAATAAGATGGCCAAGACCCAATCCCAGCCCATCCTCAATACCAAGCAGTCAGCAACACACAGCAAACCAAAGGAAGAACTTGAAATGGAGAGTATCCCCAGCCCCATAGCTCCTCTGCCCACTCGTACAGAAGGGGTGATAGACATGAGAAGCATGTCGAGCATTGATAGCTTCATTAGCTGTGCCACAGACTTCCCTGAAGCCACCAGATTCTCCCACAGCCCTTTGATGTCACTCCCCAGCAAGACTGGGGGCAGCTTGGCCCCAGAGATAGGCTGGCAGGGAGCTCTGGGTGCCAGTGGTGGTAGGTTTGTGGAGGCCAACCCCACCCCTGCTGCCAGTCATCACTCTACTTTCCTCATTGAGAGCCCCAAGGCTACCATGAAGACCAACAACCCCTTGAAGCTCCGAGCACTTAAAGTGAACTTCGTGGAGGGCGAACCCAGTCCATTAGTCCCTGTTCTGGGGATGTACCATGACCCTCTCAGGAACCGGGGGGCTGCTGCAGCTGCTGTCGCTGGACTGGAGTGTGCCACACTCTTGGACAGGCCTGTGCTGAGTCCAGAGTCCTCCATCTACACCACAGCAAGTGCTAGGACACCTTCCCGGTCGCCCGAGAAACACACAGCAATAGCATTCAACTTCGAAGCAGGTATCCACCAGTACATTGATGCAGACACAGATGATGAGGGACAGGTGCTGTACAGTGTGGACTCTAGCCCTCCCAAGAGCCTTCATGGGAGTACCAGTCCCAAGTTCAGTGTTGGGACAAGATCAGAGAAAAACCACTTTGAAAGTTCCCCCTTACCCACCTCTCCTAAGTTCTTAAGGCAGAACTGTATTTACTCTACAGAAGCATTGACTGGAAAAGCCCCCAGTGGTCAAGAAAAGTACAAACTTGAGAACCATATCTCCCCCGATGTTCGGGTGTTGCCTGGGGGAGGAGCCCATGGAAGCACACGGGATCAGAGTATCTGAACTACCCCACATGAGGGAGAGACTTGTGGTGAGGTCCAAAGAGGAGTGCTGCTCAGCTTACCTGCCACATAGCTTTTCTGCATGAACTCTGAAGCAGAAAGGCTCTGCAAAGTCCCCAGAAAGACGAGAGACTCCAGAGAAAGCTCCCTAACACCTTGAGAGTCACAGCAGGTCTATTGGAATGAAGTTGGCCAAGCCATAGAATATGGCACCTCCTTGTAACAACTCCACTGCCCTCTTTGGGAGATGGCATGAGCAGAACTCACAGCCACCACTACCACATTCTAGACATAACCAAGGCCACCTACTCCCCATTCTTCTCTCATGGCTATCCATCAGCCTTTGAAAGCAACATCTCTGATCCCTCCTGGCCTTGGCTGGAGAAGGATGCTGGAACACGTGGCTGATATTGAAAAAGTGAGTTGACTAATTTGGTATTGGGTGTTGCCTGGCCACCTCTAGGAACCCCTGTCCATCACCTCCTGGATGGATCCCACTGTTAGAGGCTACAGAGAATGCTTGTGTCATGGAGAAATCTCTGCACCATAAGCCACAATCCCAGCGCAAAACCCATACTCAAATGTCTTCATTGACTTCAGTATTTTGTAGTACTTGAGATTTTATTTTGAGCTATCATCAGGGTGAGTTGTACTACTTGTACTCCATTCTAATTGCCCCCTGGCAATCTGGGAAGGGCTCAGAGGCAGGCACTCAGCCAACAGTACGAACTCTGAGCATTGCTTTAGGATCGTAGAGGGAAAGCATTTTCTGTACATCACTAGTGTAGGCTCAAAAGATATGCAAGTGTCAAATATGCAAAAGAAATAGCTTATCCAAGAGACTGTATGTTACTGGAGAACAGAATAAAATCTGATTTTTTTTAACCTGCAACAATGAAAGGGGGAAAAAAAGTCCCCAATTGAAATGCCCTGTTCAGACTTTTGAATACTTCCTGCTGCGGCAGGGAAAGCATCTACTATAATAGAAATTCTTTTTTTGTTTCCTGTGGTATTCAAGTTTTTTTAAAAGTTTAAATAAAAAGCACTTTATGTTTTTCAAAAATAGATTCTACCAGGGACAGCATCACCATCTTGCACTTTAAAAGAAGCACCATTTCCCGTGGGCCACGTTTTGGGATTCTAGTTGGGTTGTTGCTATATGCCTGTGTCCCACCACAGTGGGTGATTTGTGCTGGTATTGCTGTCTGCCATGTCAAAGTCTGCAGGCGCCTTCCTGCCCCTCTGAAGCTTCCCCTTAGCCCTATTGCAAAGAAGGGTACCTGGCCCTTCTATACCTACGTGTATAGAAAACAGGAGCATCTCAGAAGAAGACGGTAGACGGTTGGGCATTGGGTGTTTTCTTGTCAACCAGCTGTCGGTGTGTTTTCAGTGTCACTGTCTGTATTAAAAGCTCAGCTCCTTTCCGCAGCCATCAATGCAGCCAGTACAGACAAAAGCAATAAGTTCTAGTGTGTTTCTTGGTGTTGGTGTTCCTGTCGTTTGATGCTCTGACATTGGTCTACTTGATTTCAGTCTGACAGCATGGTGTTGCTGGCTGTTCCTTGGTTCAGTAACACTGGGTTGAGCCACTGGTTAGCGTGATGCCATGCTGTGGGCCCATCCGTCAGTAAAGATAACATGTTATGGACCTGCCTGTTTTTAATGCAATGGACTGATGTTGTTCTCTTAATACAGTTCTGATGGATGATGTCCCAAATACAATCGTGTATATCTGTCAGTCATCAGTTGTGACAGGCAGACGTCTTCCTGATGGAATGAAACATGGTGTTGTTTAGCTGTCCTTCATACGATGTTATTGATCTGCCTGTTATTACAACGGCATGATCCACCTGTCAGTACACAGATATCACAGAGTCGTTCTGCCTGCTCTCCTCACAGTGGCATGAGGTTGGGCCACCTGTCACAGAGATGATGACAGGGGGTCATCCTACTGCCCTTAAAAGTGTGTGTTCTTTGCCGAATACGCGCCTGGTTCACACTGCTTCTCAGCACCTCCAGGGACTGTGGATCTCTCCAAGAGGGGACAGTCCTGTTCTTTGCTGCGTTAACAAAAAAAATGCGTGCCGGAGTGTCTTGACTCTTCCAAAGTATCTTCAGAGTACTCTGGCAGCAAATGCAAAGGGACTTAAGGGACAAAGAGAGAATGAGGTCATCCTGTTCCGGATGATATACCAGAGAGAGGAAGCAGCAGCGCTCCCGGGGGGCTTTGCCGAGATCTCAGTGTGGGCTGGGGGCCTGTTGAGGAATGGCCGTGGAGCAGTCCTCCCTGGACCATCTCACGTGTCTCTTCTTTGTTTTCATCACCATCTATGTCCGCCATCAGCACAAATGTGAAAATTCAGGGAAAACAAACAAATGCTTTTTGATAAAAGTAAATAGTTGTGATTTCTGATTCAGATATTTTTAGAGCTGATGCTATCTGTAAAAATTAATAATAATATAGTCTATTTTACATATCAGGAAAGTGAACATGTTTAAATATAGCCATATATAGTGGGAAGGAACTTACCACCCCTTCTTCAAACCAAGGCATTTCATTTGTTGGTTAAAGCAGACGAGAAGTGTACAGATTGGAAATTCTTTCTTCCTTTTTTTTTAAAAAAAACAACTAATAACCAATTGGTGCAACTCTCCTTGTAACCAAAGGCCCTTTCTGCCTTGTGTGGTCACACAGGACCTAGCCCTTCCTTCCTCGTGTATTTTGTCTGACCTTAAAGTAGCATTTTACTGAGTCACTTTTGAAGGACGAATTCAGAAGTATCATGAAGAACCTACCTATTCAGGCTGAACAGCCAGAGTCCTATAGAGTTCTTATAGAAACAAATTAATTGAAACTCAGCATATACTATGCTTAGAAAGTATTGTGTTCTGTTTTGTTTTTTTTCTTTTACTTGTGGGTGTATCATGGGAATATATATATAGCTTTTACCCTGGGTCCGATTCACAATAAAGTGCTGTGAGTTTACCCAGGCCCCCACCTGCCAGAAAGGAACATACTGAGATGTTTAATATGTGGACATTCTACCTGTACCTGTGTACATGCACTAGGAAATCTTCCTAAGAATCTCCACTAAGAAGCTAACCTTGATCGACGGGTCTTGATGGAGGACAGGGAAGCAATAGTTTTGGAAGCAGGTACCACTTTACCTTGGTGGTCCAAGTCCTACCCATTCCTGAGCCAATGAAAGCGGGGAGAAAAAACAAATCAACCCAAAGAAATGAAACTAGGGGCTGGAGGCGGATGGAAGCCTGGTCCTTTTGGTGAACTCGGTGAAACTTCTCCAGAACCCAGCTGAACTTGACTTCCAACTTCCACCATGATCAGAAAGGGCTAGGGACCAGGTAGCTGTGCATCCCAACCAACAGGGGAGAGTCTGCGACCAGGGGAATGAGGTGGGCAACCTCTTTCTCTCTTAGGGTAAAGAAAAACAACAGGACTTTGGTGCAGTAGATTTCTCGGTGCCTTCTTTAGGAATTTTATCTTAAGCACACTTAATGGGGAAAGAAAAAAAGAGGAGAGAACATTTGTTCCCGGGAAGCCCCTTTCTCTAAAGGCACCGGGGATCAAGAACGAAGAAAGAGATGGGGCGGGAAGGGGGCGGGCAATTTCCTGAGGAGGCCATTTCCTTTCAATCCACCTGGCTCATCCCTGAGAATTGCTGGCAATATAGATGTCTTCAAACTGATTCCCAACCTCTCTTCCACCGTGTCTTGGTGACCGTAGCCTCACTTCTGCCCTTTCTCCTAATAAGATCCACCTTTCTAAGGAGAAAAAACACACAGGACAGGATTCTCTTAAGGAAAGCTGTAATGTATTGTTGATGTTTGTAACTATTGTATATTTCTGTCTTGCTCCATGTTACGGCTGGAGTGTCTAATCCATGGGCAAGGGGAAATTCAAAATTCACCAGGGACCAGGGTCAGGAAAGCCAGGTCTCTAGTTCTCTCCTTTCCTTATTTCTCTAGCAACTAGTCCCAGGCTTCAGCCTCCAATCAAGGAACTTTGAATCAAATGAGAACATGGTGAACCGCCTCCAAGATCCTTTGGGAAAGGACTTGTTCTGTGGCTGCGAAGCTGGCAGGAGGAAGAAGGGGCTCACCGGAGTCCCCAGCAGGACAGCGAAGAGCCTCCAGCCCTGAGCTGAACGTCGCTCGCCTCTCTCGGCCTCTGGGACAGCACCCAAATGCGTTCACTCAGCCAGCGTGACCCAAAGCAGCCCTGGCTACACCCAGAAATAAGAGTTACCTCTGCATTTTCTGTTGCCATTTTTCTGGCTCTAGAAGTATCTGATGTGTAGGGCTACATCACAGGTTGTCCACGCATCTCAGAGTAGTCTATTTTTCTGTTCAGATAAATATATGTACTTTTAGCGAATTTATAATAGGGCCATGGAGTCTAATTTCATTTGTAATATAGAATAACATTTTAGCAGGTTTGTGGTTCGTCATTATCGTAGCTGACATTTTCTGGCCTTTTCATTTACTCCCATTGTCCCTTGGACTGCTTTTTCTTTTCTTTCAATTCTGATTTTCTGGGGGTGGGGAAAGACTTTAGGGGCTGACTTCCTCATACAGGTATTTCCTGGCACTAAGCCTAGAGTCTGTTGACACATTACTGTCTTCATTCTGTCTGTGTGTTTCTCCTATTCGTTGTTCTTAAGAATCCAGGGCACAGATGCACGATTGAGAGCAGATGACCCTCAAAATCAGGACGGGATGTGGGCTGGTTTAGTTGATTCCTACACACCTTTGGGGATCTGAGGGGACTGAGTTTTCTCATCCGCAAAGATTTCAGAACCAAAAATCTCATGTAAGCAGACTTGCCACTGGCATTTCTGAGATCCAGAACACACCCAAGCCCCTCCTGGCTGGTCTGTTGCCATGTCCAGTGCCCTGCTCCCTGTAACATCAATTGGATCCAAAGGACAGAGCATTTTCTGGTTCTTGAGAACCTCGGAGAACATGCTAGGCTTTAGATCTCATCAACTTTTTATCAGTTCTTCTTCTCAATCCATTGCCAGCAGCCTCAACAAAAAAACGGTGGCCAGACAGGCTTGCAGCCAAACCCCGAAAAGACATGTCCCCAGAATCTGCCATCTCATCTCCCCTTCCCTTTCCAGCTGCTGGCTTCATAGAGCCAGAGATTGATGGCAAAGGCAGCTTCCACTCAACTAGGCCTCAGGGAGTTTTGGACTGTCCTGATAATTAATTCCACCGGGTGGCTTCCAGCATTGGGTTGGCAGAAGATAGCTCACGAAGCAGGATCTTCAGCAAAAAGTGATTTTTTTCCATCTATCAACTCATGCAGGAAGATGAAGAAAGCTCAGATAATCTCCAATTTGCAATCATTTAGATTTTCATATCCCCACTCCCCGCCCCCCCCCACCACCACCACCAACACCACCTCATGTCAGCTTCAGGGCTCTCACCTCTGCCCAAATAGAAATCTGAGCCAAATCAGGACCCCCAGATGGCAGCGAATGATCCCCTTTGGAACAACCCCAAGAGGAAACTAATCCAAGTATGACTATATTCTTTTGGACCAAGACCCTAATCACAGTTTTCCCCCCACCCCCACCACCACCCCTCAAATTCCTGGTAACCTGGTTTGAACCAAAACCAAACAAAACAGAGATTTATTAAAACTTCTGCACAAGAACAAAAAGGAAGTTGTTTTTCCCATTAATGTGCTAGGTTTGATGCCCAGATAAGCAAACACCCTTGCTTGTGGCCATTTTCATGTAGAAAAAGGTTGTATAGCTTGGGTATCCATTCACTATCCCGGATTTTGTCTTAACCTGGAATTTCTTGGGAATACCCCAAAATTCCAACTTGAAGAAATGGATTTGGAAGGGGCTCTGTTAATGGAGCAGCCCCTCATCTTCACCTCTAACTCTAACTCTTCATTCCTCCCTGCAAAGATTCTGAAAAGATCTGAAGGCTGGCCAGGATGGGGTAGAGTGGGGCAGTTCACCTGGACAAGAAATTACCTGCCTGCAGGATGGCTGCATGTGGATCTCTGAAATGTTCTCTTGCATGAGAAGGACAGGGTGGTTGATTTCAGCTCAAAGTAAGAAAGCACTTCTAATGGGTGGGGCTGCTCGCCATGGAACTCGAATGCCATGTTGGGTAATGACCTTTGTGACACCACAGTGTTTAAAGAGAGGCTAGATGGTGTACAAAATGGATATTGCAGGGGGGCCCTAGCACTGCATAGCAACTGGACTAAACAACCAGGGAAATTCTCTCTCTCTCTCTCTCTCTCTCTCTCTCTCTCTCTCTCTCTCTCTCTCTCTCTCTCTCTCTCTCTCTCTCTCTCTCTCTCTCTCTCTCTCTCTCTCTCTCTCTCTCTCTCTCTCTCTCTCTTTCTCCTGGTGTGTGTGTGTGTGTGTGTAGGTGGTTGGTGGTGGTTTGAACATCTGGGCACAGACTCAAGCCACCAAGGCAAAGGCAAGGAGCACTGTTAGCAGGAACTCAAATGTTAGAATTTAGACCTCTCAGAGGGAGTTCTAGGTGGCACAGGATACCCTGTTCCCCATGCTCCGTATCTTGGACAGTTTCAATGACCCTGTTGACCACCCATCCAACCCATCCCCAGTGCCCTAGCAGGAACCACACAGGGTGGAATAATACTCATAATACTCATGGTATCATCCCCCATCTCTGGCTGGCTGTCTCGAGGTGCTTCAGTTCTTCTGCCCAGACTCTATGCCCTCAGAGACCTGAGGATTTCAGTACAAAAGACACAATTATCTTTTACCCACTAACCACCTGCCTAATGAACAAACAGCCCAGGCGATAGCAAATGGCATTATTCCAAAAGGGCTTTATTCCCCTGGCAAATAAAACAGGAAATCCCATTCAAATCCTTTGGGGTTTTTTATTCCATTGAATTTATTGGGGTGACACACTTAATAAAATTATATAGGTTTCAGGTGTATAATTCTATAATACGTCATCTGCATATTTTTATCGTGTGTTCACCAGCCCCAGTCAAGTCTATTCAAATCTTTTGAAAGTCCCCACCCAATGAAATTAAATCCAGAAGATCCAAAACAGAGAGGCGCCTGTACCCAGTTTTACAGCAAGACAAGGCTGCTGCTGCCTCCAGGCAGAATGCCGTCTCCCACATCTCTAGCCCCTTCCCAAGGTCTGGATGCTGCATTCCCCAAGGAGAGCAGCAG